GGGGGGGGGGGGGGGGGGTGGCACATGTACTATCATGTAGTGGAAGGCCCCCTCCTATTTTGGATAAAACGAGTGAGGACCCTTGGACATGCGATGAGAGCTCAATGGATCTGTGGAGCATGCGACAGCAGGACCTTGCGGACTCAAACTTTTCTCGTGCCCCCGTCTCTGCTCCCTGGAACATCCGTCTGTACAGAGCCAATGCGCCACAGGTGTGAGGACTACGTTCAAACCCCAAACGCAGGCCAGTGACCCAGTAAACTGGCGGCTAGTAAGTGCACGACGGTTAGGGCTCAGCTAGGGGCCTAAGGTGCCTTAGGCTAAGTGCCTTAAGGTAAAGGAGTGGGCACTACGGCTTCAGTGTCACGACCTGCGGCGCAAGACTAATGACCTGCTTCAGCCATGCGAGGATGTTCTTCTTGGAGCTTTCACCTTGCTTGTTTAGGGTTTCAGGGTTTAGGGTTCGCAAAAGCATTGTCCCCTAATTTTTCCGAGGGTCTCTTGGGCAGGTGCTGAGTGAGCTGATTGTGCACTTGAGTGCTAAACTTGAAACCGGCATGATCTTTGAGAATGTGCAGGAAGTAGACGGGGATCCTTGAGACCACGTTTTCCCACTGCCATTTCTCCTTGCCGAGCATAAGGGATCCATCTGATGCCACAATGTTCCAGCCTTTCTCCTCATACGCATTTCGGAGGCCACCCATGAACAAGGAGACATTCTCGACCAGCTTTCTCCGAACGAAGCTGCTGGCATCGAAACTCATCTCCTTGGGCTCTGGCGGTGCGACTGGGGCTGCCGCTGATTCTGCTGCCGCGGAAAGCTTGGGCAGGGCTGCGGGGAGTGGAATCTCTCCAGCCTTGATTTTCGTCAGCGCCATGTCCGAGGCTGGACTCAAGACTACATGCAACCGTGTCTCACTTGCGTGCACTTGCTTCGTGGCGACCTCACCGCAGATGCAGCTGACGGGGTCCATGACGAGGGGCGGCTCGGTGCACGAGGTGACCCAGGAGCCACTGGCAGCATTGTATCGCAAGGGTGCGAGATGCACGACTCTGGTGCTGGAGCAAGGAAGAGCATCGGCGGCAGGCTTCGCGACACGAATTTGGCCAAGCTGCGGGGACCCCTGTTTACGCACGATGCTGCCGCGGAACATGGCGAGGACGATGGCGAGGCGAAGCTCACCTTTCTCCGGAGTCCCGTCATGCAAAAGCAACACCTGCGGATCCTTATGGTTCTTGCCGTTCCGGTAGCTCGTGGGTGCAGTGATGCCTGGGTCGCCCTCCGTCACCTTGGGGTTCTTTGCCTTGATCTTCTCCACGAACAGAATCTGGCATCTGGACCAAGCTTCGGCACGGGAGATGCGCTGCTGACTCAGGCCGGCGGCACGACGTGCAAGGGCCAGTTCGTGCATTCTCGCATTGTGCTCGTTTAAGGGTGTCCGGGATCTTTCGAGGCAAGCCAAGGAAATAAGGCCCTCCTCCAAGCGAACCATCCTCGTAAATCTCCTGATGCTCCCGACCATGGCCTCGACTCTTTTCAGACATGCTCGCGGACCTTCGGCGGCCTTGTTATCGCCCAGCTGGAATTCTGGACCGCCGCTCTTCACCTGTTGCAAAAGCTCGATGACGGTTTTCGGAATCTGGGCCTCATCATCTTCCTCGGGCTCGCCTGGCCAGAGCTCCTGCAGGGTCTTTGCATCCAGCTTAAGCTCCGGATCGTCATGTCCGGATTCCTCGGCCAGGCCACTTGGGTCTGCAAGGGCATCCAGACTCTTGTCCAAGTCCTCGATCACGGCAGCACGCCCTTCGACACGGGTGAGGCATGCCACATCCGCTGGGATCTCTCTGGGAGGGTCCTGGTTCTCAGCTGCTGGTGTGACCTCAACCGCATCTGGTGTCAAGTCTTCCTCCACGTCGGAGTTGTCCTCGTCGGTGGGCTCATCGGGCTGGCACTCCCCAAACATCTGGGCACCTTTCATGCGATGCCAGAAATTGTGGAGCTGGTCATAACACTCGTTAGGAGTGAGATCCGTAGTGATCCAGCATTGAAGCTGTATGGCAGCAGCGAGGGCTTTCTTGGCAAGCCCCTTCATCTCCTCCTCACTGATCGGCTCTCGGGGCTGGGATGTGAAAGCGGTGGGCAGCTGCTCGGAGGAGCTTGCTCGCAGGATGTGAAGCTGCCTGGCGTGTTCTTTGGCTGTCCCCAGGATGAGGTCCTTCAAGGTGGCGACACCAAGAGCATGTTTTTTTATGAGCCCGAAGTGCTCCTCTATCCGCCCCTCTTGGAGTGCAGCAGGTTCCAAGTTCGTGAGCCCGGTGGCCACACAGCCGGCGGTCATTCGAGAAATGTTCCTCAGAGTCGTCAGGGCAATCGAGTGTTCCCGCCAAGCCCCCTTGTAGGTATGCAGATTTGTGCTGATGTGCAGGACGCACATAAAATGCAATGTGAATGCGTTCAGCATCAGCTGCTTTTTCGAAAAAGCAGCCGAGGCGACGGTACAGGAGGCGATGAGCCCTCCCATGAGGGCGTAGAGATGCGTTCCCAGCGACAGCCACGTGCGGCCTATATAACAAGGGGCCATCCTCGAGGCGCTTTCGCGATCCGACATGGGGTTGTGGAGGCTGTATGCCCTGGCTGGCAAGCCATATCCTAGCATGTTCGAGACCTCGACGAACAGGGATCCCAAGACGATTTTCTTGGACCCAGACTGACATTGTAATCCGAAGGATTTTTGAAGATGCAGCCCCCCCAAGAAGGAGGTGATGAGGTGTCGCTGCTTCCCGTGTCGCACCAGAGCATATGGCCAAAACGACACGCCTGTCTTCGTCACTGTGCACTCCTTGAGAAATGCGGTGCTCTCCATGACCTGTGCCGGGAGTTGCCCCACGAATGCACGGATGACCATGGCATTGCAAGGCGCTGCATCCGAGACGGTTCCTTGTGGTGGGACTCCTCCACGACAATGGGTCGTTGTTTCCAGCACTTGGCATACTGCAGTCAGCATCTCTGCAGCAGTGCTTTGCCCCCGAGGGCGAGGGACCATGGCACAGCTCATAGCAAACCGATTCGTGTCGGTTCTTTTCAGCACACAGCACAAGGCCAGGCGGGAGAGCTTGTCCATCGGCAGATTACTCCGGTCGTGGGTCGCGGGATCTAGAACTGCCCAGGATTCCTCGGGGCTCCGGTGCCAGCAGCCTCCTATGAACTTCTCGTCATCCTGACCTGAGAGCCTCATCAACTCATAGTTCGCCTCCATGACGGTCTCATCGAACATGAGGAAGGGCCTGTGTTCCAGTCCCAGTTTGAGATGGGTACTGATACATGTGATGGTCTGGGTCAACTGCTCCTGGGACGACAAACTCAGGAAGGGCTGCGGAAGCACGGGGTCCAGCACACGCAAAGTCGGGAGAGATCGGCGATTCACACCGAACCTCTCCAGGAGCTGCTTCACTTCCTCTGAACGCCCTAGTGTGACGAGGGCCTCTTCTGTGGCACCCATGGCACTCATGAAGCGGCTCGTGGTCTTGTAACGTTTCGTCTCCAAGTCACTGCGGAACGTATACAAGAATGAGCTGACTAGCCCCTGCACGAGTGCATCCCCCCTAAGACCGCCGGCGGCTATCTTAGCCGCCAGCTGCAAGTCAGCATCTCTGCAGCGGCCATCCCGCACCGCACCAGACAACTGCTGCACCAAGCTTGCATGCGCCGACGATTCCACATCGCCGGCAAAGAAGGTGGGCGTGCTCGGCAGCCAATGGTTGATGAGTGACTTCAGGGAGGGGCCCAGGCGCCAAGCAGGTATGCACACAAACTTGTGGACGATGGCCCGCACCTGTTCGAGTCCGGAGCCTTTCTGGAGAAGCTTGTTGAAGTCGTCGCCAGCATAGCCGTTCTTCATGTAGTCCCGGGCCTTGACGATCTCGACGAAGTCCCTGCTCTCGGCTTCCGTGCCATGGGACAGTTTGTGAGCTAGAGCGCACAAGTCCACCATGTAAGACATACGACAGATGTGCCGATGCATGTCCCGATTACCGGCCTCCTTGCGGCACTCTGCACAGGCGGCTTCTCTGCTGTCATGTTGGCCTTGGCACTTGCTGCTGCGAGCGCAGATACTCTGGCCTTGGAAGCGAAACTGGACATGGAGCAATGGATCCTTCTCTTTCTCGGAATATGTGGTGCTGGGCTGGCCTGCACAAGCCCAGCTCAGCAAGCTTTCACGGATTCCATGCAGCGGCATTGTGGCATCCTGCGAGGAGATGCCTGGGCATCCCTTCGAAGCTGGGACGAGTTGGTCCTCCACCGGCGGCTCATCGCCTTCACCTTGTAGATCCGCGGGATCATCTGGCGCCAGGCCGAGTCTCCGAAGCCCTCGTTTGTGATAGACCCCACGTTCGTGCCGGTGCACTTTCTCTGGGTTGGTCTGGCTTTGAAAGGAGATGCTCCGATTGCAGGCTCGACAGTGGTACATGAACACCTGGGCCTTGAACGTGTCCTGCGTCTGCAGGTAGATGTCGGCACGATGGAGCCGCATGAAGATGTGGAGATTCCAACGATCTTCGGGTAGTTCCGATTTCCGTGGCCGACCCTTCTTGCTCACGGATGGCCCCAAACGTGGCTCGATGTCCTCAACTCTGACCGGCACGATCTGCTGGTCGGACCCTGCGGGTGGCTTTGCGAGTATGTCTCGTCGAAGCCTTGAGCACACCCTGCACGTCAACACCAACTCCGGCTTCAGGACCCCCTCGATGAATAGATGCCAATGTCCTCCCACCGGCTCAATGTTCTCGCTGTAGTGTTCCTTTTGGAAGCTATTGTGTGTGACCCCAGCAGCCTTAGCGACTTCAGTGCCTTCGCCGATCCGTGCCTTCTGGGCCTTCTTGCTCATCTGAGGCTTTGCTTTGCTAGCTACTGACCCTGCCTTGGAACCAGCAGATCGAGACACCAGAGCCCTGGGGGTGCTGGCTTGTGAGTCTCCTGCTGGCGATGCTGCCTCGAAGTCAGGCTTGCGCTTCCGGGCTGGGGTACAAGGAGCAGGAGGAGGCTCGTCCGGAGCACATGGGGCACTGGTCTGGGCTGTGGCTGCCGACGCCTTAGCCCTTGCCTGGCTGCTCTGCCCTGCCTCTACCCTCGGACACTTAGACACACCCAGCAAGGCATCAATGAGCTTGCTACTGATGTGCGCCTCCTGCAGCAAGCATGGCAGAGGCTCGTCCTTCAAGAGTGCACAGAAAACAGCATCCGCTGCCAGGATGCAGCGGTGTCCGCAGCTCCAGCTGTCACCCTGGGGAGGCACAGCTGCTCTCTGCACAGACACTTCTCGATCTAGCCAGTCGTACTCCACCAGGTACGCAATGAAGCTCAGGGCATGGTCCTCGCAGACAGGGTCGCTGATACCGCTATAGACATAGGCGGCCGGATCAGCTCTGTTGCGATTGTCGACTGCGAGTAGTGCCCAGTGCGACCTGCTGTAGATGAGTCCCAGCAAGGCTGTCGCCTGGAACTGATGCCTCAAGCACCGAGACCAAGCTTCCTCGCCACAATTCACGACCGCGATCCTGCCGATCCAGCTGTCGCCCACGGCGGAGTAACCAGCTCCCAGAATGCCTCGCAGAACTTGCACGAAGGTGAGCATATGCTTGCCCAGAGCTTGCTGGGGCTGATCCTTCGCTAGCAGCTTGTCTAGCTCGCTGCAGCATCTGATCCCGGCACTGCTTCTTGGCTTCTTTTCAAGTGCACCCGCACCGGCCATGGATTCATCCAGCTCTCGCTTCACTCGCTGCAGTTTACTAGGACCGGCAGCTGCAACGGCGGCTACGACTGCATCCGAAGATGCATCGCCTACGGATCCATCCAGCTCTCGCTTCACTCGCACTGGCCTTGCCTCCGCCTTCACTTTACTGTCAGTTGCCGCATCTACAGGAAGCTCAGGCGAAAGGCCTAGCTCACTCAAGCGGCTGTCTGAGAAGTCGTGGGTCCATGCATCCCATGCAAAGTACTTCAGAAGCAGCGACAAGATCGTCTTCTCGTCCTCATCTAAGGGTTTATGAACGGTCCCTGGGGAATCCAGATGTGCAGTAGCATACGGCAGCCACGGCAGCAAAGCTGGATCTCGGCTGGCCTTCTCTAAGAACAGCCGCGGCTCTTGCACTAGCCAGGCTGACTTTGCTGCGGACGACAAGGAGCGGAAAGGTCTCACCTCTCCGGCGGTGTGGTAGCGCATCACTGCCACAAACTCAGCCACGGCAATGTCAGCGAATTCGATTCGACTCGTCTCTGAAAGCACTAGGAAGAGTCTCTGCCTAACACACATGGGAGCCTCTCTCCTTGGTTCCCCAAGCGGTCAGATCAATGCACACTTTTGTCTACGGAGTCTACGAACAACTGTTCTAGCCTAGCGACAGAGAACACAGCAACTCCGACTTTTTGTTGTCCAAGGCATAGCTTTCCAGGGAGTCCCACCAGACCTCGCAGGGGCGCCGTGGCTTGCTGAGAGCGATGACATCGACCACCTGCTGGGTTGAGGGAGGTGAAGAAATAGGTACCGGTCCACACCACGGTTCTAGGAGTTATATTAGCTTCTATAGTAGAAGGAGTGGAGTGGCCCCTAGCCCAGTACCTATTTAGCCT